CAAGAGGAGGAGGAGGAGGAGGGACCGCTGCGGGTAGGGGGAGACGGGAGTGTCGAGAGGTTCGGTGCAGACCTTGAGCGAAATGCACGGTGGAGGTTTGCGTGGGGCTCCCTCCTTCAGTGCGGGAGAGAGCGGTGGTTGGGTGCCGTGTCGGATCTGTCCCGCTCTTTTCCCGGCAGGTGCGTCCAGGTGTTCACCCTGATGTTGTGTTTAATCTTTCTAAGTGTCAGGAACAGTCGTGGCAGGGAATGAGGTCACTCCAACATGACTGCACTGGCAGCTCCTATAAAACCACCCTGCTGGCCCGGCCAGTCAGCCTTGCTGGGGGAAAAATAAGCTTGCCTCTTCTTTGTTCCGTTTATATTTTTTTCTTCTTTTTTTTTTTTTGTGATGAAAGGAATATCAGGTTTATGAGAGAACAAATCATTTGAGGCTGTAAGACACGGAATACTTACCAAGGTGAAAGTAATGAGGCCCGATCCAAGTTATTTTTTCTTGAGATGAAGAAGGCAGTGCCGGGGCAGGTTGGGGTGGCATTCCCCTGTCCCGCTGGAGACCTCCAACTTGTGTCTCCCGATTTCAGTAGCAGCACCTCCTGCTCTCTGTCGGCTGCGTAGTGAACTTGAATCCACCTGGGTGACTTTCGCCCGTGGGTGAGAAAGTCTTCTGGATGGAAGAGCTGAAACGATTGCCCAAATGTCAGTAGCATAATTGTGCAACTCTCAGTACTGACTGAGTGGGTACCAAGTCATGTGAGGGTACCTCAAGTTATTGTGCCTTCATGTACAAAACCCCAACAGGGACTAGATCTGGAACCAGTATATATGTTATTTTAATTTTTTTTTTTTTTTTTCAGAGGGCAGCAAGGATAATTCAGGGGCTTATGACTGCTAGGGAAAAAGTGGGGTGGTGGTAGGAAAACCCATGAGTATGTTTTCTCACTACCCTGAAAATTTTCTTTTTCATGTAATCTTCATAAAATCTTCATATTTTCATATATGCTGTATGATATGATTACAAATCTGATTACATTGTGTGGCTGTTTTACATTTTAGTAAGGAAAGCATGTAGAAGGTTCTGATTTTATGAATTCCCAATTCTGTTTTGAGACTTTTACAGGACAAGGACTGACTGTGTTTTGCTAGCAGAAGGAGACAGTGACCACCTCACAAGTCAAAGTTGACTGGGGAGGGAGGAGGGAGGGTGATGATTATGAGGGAAAATACTCGATTCCAAACACAACTGATTGCATGATTACAGTGAAATTGTTACAGAAGTCCTCCTAGAAATTTGTACTAGTTGTGACTGGATATTTGTTTCAGACCCCTAGATCGCTTACTTCTTTGCGCTTTTTAGGTGGAAAAGGGTTTAGTTGACAGCACTCATGCTAAGCAGGTAACACCAGGATGCTTTTGCCGCCTTGCATTCCACTGGTCTGTGTGTTGCGCTAACATGGTGCTATTGACTTTCAGGTCCAAACTGCAAGCTCGGAGCAGCTAGTCATGATGAGTTTCTGTTGCCATCGTAATACAGGAAGGCACATCTCAAAATTCCGCAGTGTTGGACTGGAACCCTTCTAGTTGATATGCAGTATGTAAAGTGGAAGGCAAATTTCAGAGCGCTTTCCGAACTGTCATGTCTTGAAGAAACATTGGTGTTTTTAGATAGTGTTAGAAATCATCAATATAATGTGTAATACTGGAGTTAGAGAGTCCAGCTGTAAGGAGCAAGAATACACATGAGAACAAGGCAGTAACATCAACATGACGAGGTTTTAAAATGCCTGTCTTCTTTTCAGCCATTTAAAGTTTTGGCCACTGAAACTGTAACTGGAAAGGCGTTAGAGGCAGACATATACAATGCAATTCCTACTGAAAAGGTGGATGGAACCTGCTGTTACGTAACTACCTATAAAGGTAATAAGGAGGATCCATATGCTGATTTCTCCTGCTGACTAGAACCCATGTTTTACATAGTTCTCACTTTTATTGTATGATTATTGGATTACAGCTGTTTTGAAATTCAACTGTCATTAAACATCCCGACCTCAGAGTAGTAGTTACTGTAAACATAGGAGGTGTTTATTAAGTTGGTAGATTTTACTCTCTAACATACATGAAGTAAGGATTAAGTGAACATGCCAATCAAGGAAGTATTCCCATTTTAATAATTCTTATTAGTAAATCTTCCTTGCAAAGTAGAATTTTTATAATAAAGGCTGTCTAATTTCCTTGAGTATTAAAAGAAGCATGGAGGTTGGGAGGAAATGAGAAGACTGTGGTTCATTGCATCAGTGGGGTTCTTGCCTTTACCTGAAATTTTGAGTAAACTTTGTATTAAACTAGGCAAGATTCTACAAATAGATTCTTAAATTCATGTACGGTAATTAATTTATGAATTTGAATAGTGTCTTTGGCTAGAAAATTTCTTGAGTGGCAAATGAGAATTCATATCTTGCTTTTTATAGAGTTGATTTCAGTACTCTGCAGGTAACTGCTGGGTTTATCGTTCTGGAAACTCTCTAGGTCAACCGTATCTATGGGCAAGGCTGGATCGAAAACCCAACAAACAAGCTGAAAAAAGGTTTAAACGATTCTTGTATTCACTGGAAGATTGCAAAGGTTAGTGAAGATTTCTCTCCTTTCTTTTAGCGATGTAAGTTACCCAGTTGGAATTACACTTCTAGTCTAACACAAGAAATTTCAGTGATTCTGCTTCAGTTTTTTTCACATCACTCTTTAACTTTACTTCGAGAGAGCTTTAAACTAGAATTGATGGGGGAGAGGTATACCAACAGGGTTGCAGGAGGTAAGCTAAAGGTTGGCATGGCATCAACAAATGGTGGCAATGCTAGTGGGAACATTTATCCCATTCTTGGGAGCATGGAAGGCTTGGGAGCATATCTGAGATGCTTGTACACCAACACATGCAGTATGAGAAATAAACGGGATGAACTGGAAGTGTTGGTCAGCTCCCAGAGCTAAGGTATAATTGCTATTATTGAGACTTGGTGGAACGAGTCCCATGATTGGAATGTTGGGATGGAGACCTGCAGGCTGTTTAGGAGGGATAGGCACAGCAGCTGAGGTGGAGGTGTCACACTATATGTAAGGGAGAGGTTTGGCTGCACAGCTGGTACAGGTAGTGATGATGTGGTTGAGGATTAGGCGAATGGAAAACAAAGGAGATGTTCTAGTGGCTGTCTGCTACCGATCGCTCAGCCAGGATGTAAGCACTGATGAATTATTCCATAGGCAATTAAGAGAAATTTCGGGATCAGTAGCCCATGACCATATGGCAGATTTCAACTTCCCAGACATAACTGGGAGTATCATACTGCTGTGATGAGCAGGTCTTGGTAATTCTTGAAGTTTGTAGGAGATAACTTCTTGTCACAGGTATTCAGTGAGTCAACTAGGAAAGATGCCCTCCTAGACTTGCTGTTTGTGAATAGAGAAGGACTGCTGGGGTATGTGATGGTAAGTGGCTGCCTTGGCCACAGTGATCATGAAATGTTTGAGTTTAAAATTTTTAGTGTAATAAGAAAAAAGGACAGCAGAGTTGCCACCTTGGACTTCAGGAGAGCAAACTTTAAGCTATGCAGGGAGCTATTTAGCAGACTACTCTGGAATCTGCTTTTGAGGGTTTAGGAGTCCATGAGTGCTGGGCAGTCTTTAAGAACCACCTCTTAGAAGCACAGGAACTGGCAATTCCACTGTGTCCTGTCAAGTAAGCAGGGCAGAAGACCAGCTTGGCTGAACGGGGAACTTCTTGCGGAGCTCAAGAGGAAAAAGAAAGTGTATGATCTCTGGAAGCAAGGTCAGGCTTCACAAGAAGATTACAGAGCTGTGGTTCCTATATGCAGGGAGAAGACATGAAAGGCCAAAGCTCAGTTAGAGTTGAAACTGACCAATATTGTTTCAGATAACAAGAAGGCCTTTTTTGAATATGTTAATAGAAAGAGGAGGTCTAGAAAACATGGAATGATACTTTTTTGAGATGGTCATCTGCCTAATAGGAATGAAGAAAAAGTGGAGGCATTCAATGCATTTTTTGCCTCAGTCTGTAATAATACTGATAGATGTTGAGCTGCCCGGTCCCCTGAGTCAGATGACCACGTGTGTTGCAACAGTGACTTTCCACTTGTGGACACTGAAATTATAAGGGACCAGCTGTATCAGCTGAATATTCACAAGTCCATGGGGCCTGATGGGATTCATCCCAGAATTATTGAAGGAGCTGGCTGATGTTATGGAGGACCCTTCTCGATCATCTAGGAAGCCCTGCTGACTGGAAGCTAGCCAGTGTTATTCCAATCTACAACAAGGGCATGAGGGAACACCCGGGGAACTACAGACCTGTTAGTCTAACCTCAGTTCCTGGAAAACTTATGGAGTTTATACTGGGTACTATTGAAAGGCATTTAAAGAATAATGCAATCATCAAGCACAGTCAACGTGGATTCACAAAGGGAACTAATTAATTTGATATGCTTCTATGATAATGTTATCCACATAGTAGATGAAGGGAAGGCGGTGGATTTAGTATTTCTGGATTTTGGTAAGGCTTTTGATACTGTTCCTCACAGCATCCTTCTGGACAAGTTGTCCCACTGTGGGATGAGTGGGTTCACGGTGCACTGGGTGAAGAACTGGCTGAAGGGCAGAGCTCAAAGGTTTGTGGTGAATGGGACTAGATCTGGCCGGTGACTGGTCACCAGCGGTTTTTCTCATGGTTCAATTCCAGGGCCAGTTCTGTTCAATATATTTATAAACGATCTGGATGCAGGAGTTGAATGGTCCATTAGCAAGACCAAACTGGGAGGTGCCTTGGACTTGCTAGAGGGACGAGAGGCCTTGCAGAGGGATCTAGATAGATTGGAGAATTGGGCTATGATTAATGGGATGAAATTTGACAACTTATAATGCTGGATTCTGCACCTAGGACAGAGTAATGCCAGACACAAGTATAAATTGGGAGAGGAGTGGCTCTAGAGCAGCCCTGCAGAAAGGGATCTGTGGGCGCTGGTTGACAGCGGGGTCACTATGAGCCAGCAGCATGCCCTGGCAGCGTGCCCCAGAGGGCAAACTGCATCCTGGGGTGCATCAAACCCAGTATAACCAGACAGTCAAAGGAGGTGCTTATTGCATTGTATTCAGCGTTGGTGTGACCTCACTGTGAGTACTATGTGCAGTTCTGGGCCCCACAATTTAAGAAGGATGTGAAGATCCTTGAATGTGTTCAGAGGACGGCGACAAAGCTGGTGAAAGGGCTGGAAGGAATGTCCTATGAGGAGCATCTAAAGACTTGGGTTTGTCTAGTTTGGAGAAAAGGAGGCTGAGGGGTGACCTCATTGCTCCCTACAGCTTCCTGAGGAGGGGAAGCAGAGAGGGAGGTGCTGATCCCTTCTCCCTGGTACGCAGTGATAGGACATGTGGGAATGGATCAAATCTGCACTAGAGGAGGTATAGACTGGATATTAGGAAGCATTTCTTTACTGAGAGAGAGAGTGGTCAAACACTGCAACAGGCTTCCTAGAAGGTAGTCGATGCCCCAAGCCTGTCAGTGTTTAAGAAGCATTTGGACGATGCCCTTAACAACATGCTTTAATTTGATCAGCCCTGAAGTGGTCATGCAGTTGGACTCGATGATCGTTGTAGGTCCCTTCCAACTGAAGTATCTCTTCTATACTATTTTACTTTTCTTGGTTTAGTTTAAATATAATGCTGGCTCTTTAGGTAGCTATTTTTGATTCTGTTAGTTTTGAACTTTTTAACTACTTAAAGGCTACTGTGCTTCTTTAAACCCTTTCTAATTGTAGACTGCTTGAGTGTGCCAGATGTTGGTGCTTGTACGAAGTAACTGGGACTGTCTGTAAAACAAGGTTTAGATCAGTGGTATTTTAATACTTGCATTGAAAGACAATAAAAATGTAAAATTGGGTAGCAGTTTGCCAAAAACTAAATGTCAAATTTGTATGTCTAGAATTTGTTTGGAATGTTGAAGAGGATTTCAAGCCTGTTCCCGATACCTGGATTCCAGCAAAGGACATAGAGTTCTCTAATGGCAATCCTTTGCCCGATGAAAACGGACATATGCCAGGTACCTATGACGCAGCACAGGTAAAATGAGGGCGGGGAATCCATTCCTAAAGTGAATTAGAATTATTTCCAGAGTTAAAAGTAGTAGTTAACATACTCAGAAAACAATGGGAATGTCATTTATTCACTATCCAGAAAGGCTTTGTTCTTCTGATACATTGAAAATAATTGCAGTTTGCTGTACAGACTGAGGGCTTCAGCTGAAGGCAGAGTTGTCATGTTTGTGTTCCTCTGACATTTCTCTGAGATACAACATAGGTTTTCTTGTTGCTTTTTCTTTTTGTAGTTAAACTGTGGGGTTTTTTTAATACACATACGGTTCTAATAGTCATTTGATAACTTCAGATATTTCCTTTGGTAAAATGCAGTGTTTTCTCATAGGTTGGGTGCCTGTGGAGAAAAATAGTAAGCAGTATTGCTGGCACTCATCTGTTGTAAATTATGAGGCTGAAATAGCACTGGTGTTGAAACACCATGCTGACCCAGGGCTTCTGGAAATCAGTCCAGTGCCATTATCGGAAATTTTAGAACAAACGTTGGAGCTTATTGGGACTAATATTAATGCAAATCCATATGGTAAGTTTTTACGGTCTGTTCTTAAATATTTTTTTTATTTAGTGCTATTTTTGAGTGAAAACTATGCATTTTCTTTGTATAAGCTTTAAAAAAAAGTTCTAAGGTAGCAATGTAACATTTTTGGAAAGGAGAGAAAGGGCTAGCTCAAAGAACATCCAAAAATACTCACCTCGGAAAGCTGAGTTGTCATGAGATTATTAAACCTCCTTCCACCCACATGTTCTTTAGGTGTTACTATAAAAATGCTTTGCTTCAGTCTCAAAAAATATTATGACTGGAAAAATTGTTTAAAATATTACTATTAAAATATTAAAATATTTATAAGATTGTTTGTTGGTGCCTTTTCTTGACTTTTTTTTTACTTGCTTTTCTGATGCTGTTAAGTCTATTAAAGTAGAAAATGTTATTCAGCCATGTTTTTTGAGTCCCTAGAGTTAGTCAAAAGTTGCAATTTTAAGATTATGAAATATTATGCATTTTTTAAGGAAATTTAATTTAAGCTAAATGTTGGTTGTTGCTTCTCCCTTTAAAAGCCTTATAACAAAAAACAATTGGGTATGAACACAAGGGAGTTCTAACTTCTGAGCTTTGCTGGGATAACTTGCAAGATGGATAGGAAAAAGAGTAGCACTTGGTCTAAGCATTTTCTCAGAACGTAAAGGAACTGCAACAAAAAATTCTGATAGCTGTATTCTTAGATGAAGATTTATGTTGAACAGTCAGTGAAGAGGCAGCGTGTTTGTTAACAGCCTGGTTTAAGTGTCAATCTGTATTCATAAGAAAATACGCCACATTTTCAGGAACTAACATGTTTGTGCTCTGAAGCATGAAGAATTTAGCTAGCAGCTTTATGGTTACTGAGGAGGTGACCTCAAGGACAAAGCAGACAACTGTCTAAATCTTTGTCAGGTTTATTTTATATAAATAAAAAGTTACAAGAGGAGGAGACAGCTGCATTTGATACTTAAAAGTATATTTACCTGTTGTCTTAAAGGCAGGACAATGTTGTAGTATCTAATAGAAGTCTACCTTTATAGTGTTTTTAAGGTAGCCATAATAACAAAAATGAGGAAAACCTTAAGTTATCACACACGTAACTAGCAGGAAGTTTTTTGTTTCCATTCACACAGGACTAGGAAGCAAGAAGCAGCCTGTACATCTTCTTGTACCACATGGAGCGTTTGAAATAAAGAATCCACCTGCTTTGAAATATAATGACATAATGTCTTGGTTTGAAGGCTGCAGTGAGGGTAAAGTTGAAGGAATTGTGTGGCACTGCCATGATGGGTGTTTAATCAAGGTAAATATATAGATGGACATGTGGAAACCACTATAATAATTCATAATATGTGAAGTATTGTGAGGTACTCACTTTTTGTCTTGTTTTCCAAATTCTTTAGTAGTAAATGTTCTCCTACCAAATCAGGTGATGGAAGAATTAGTCAAGCCAGTGAATCACTACCGTGTCAACATATTAAACTTCTTAGTTATCTACATTATGCTAATAACTTAAAATAATTGAGGTAATTGTAAATTAACATTTTTTTTGCCTGTCTTTATAGGAGTCACTCAACAATTTAAAGCTTAATTCTTTTATTTGGAAAATTAATTTCTTGTAATGTTGACTTATAGAACAAGTATCGTTAATAAGAATGTGATTTTTGATTAATTAGCAAGCTTATATTATTTCTGAAGCTGTGAAGCACATCTTAGTTCTGGTTTGCCTTTGAGCTTCGTTGTTACTCATGTTACTCTGATAATTGATGACTGGTTATAAGTGCCCTCTAATGCAGAGGATCCTAGAATTAAAGCTCATGCACCCTACCTTGGGAACTGTTGGGCTATTAGAGCAAAAATCTCTAAACTGATTTTATTTCTTTTTATTTTAGCTCCATCGCCATCATCTTGGTTTACGCTGGCCGCTTGCAGAGACATACCTGAATTCTCAGCCTGTTGTAATTTCTTTTAATAGAACTAAATATGACTGTGACTTTGAACCAAAGAGTTTGTTTCACCAGTTTTCCAACTTGGATGGTCAGAGATTTGACAGACTCGAAGATATCAAGTTTGATGCTTGAGATTATTTTTCTCTGAAGTTAATTGTCGTATGTGCTGCATTCCTCTTACTTGTGTCTACTACAGAACTCTTTACAAATAATCTTCTAGCTTAGGCAGCAGCCTAGGTACTGTATGATTTTAAGTTTTTCCTAAATGACTAATCTTATATAACGAGATATCTGACATCCAGAGAAGAGATCTAGCTTTCAGCATGTTTATTTTCAGTTCTGAAAAATCCTTAACTTTTCGACCCATTTCTGGAAACTGTTATAATTGTTGTCGAACACTGGCTGGTAGTAATAGCTTAGCTAATGAATGCAATCAACTGTAAAAGTTCCATAGGTTGCACTCCTGTAAATATAATTATTACAAAGCTGTTATATGTAGGATTCAGATCTAGGATCTAGTTGTTTTTTAACAGTAAGGAAGGGAAATATTTCAAGTGGGACCAGAATTAGTTCTGAAATTTGATAATTTTTTTTTTTTAAGTTGTAACATCTTTTTTCTGGGTGGAAAACTTTTTACTGTATTGTTTAACTAGTAAGCTGCAGCATTATCCTATTACTTGAAAACCTAATTAAGCTACATCCTACAGGTACTTCCACTATTTCAGGACAAAAAGAGTAAATAAGAGAAAGTATGCTAGTTCTATTTTGGACATCCTTAGTAATGAGAGAGACGTTACTGGGCTTAATAATAGCCATTTTTAGACTGACTGTCAATTAGGAAACTTCATCAAGCGTACATTAAGTAAGATGGCATATAAATAATAAAGGTGAGAAAGCATGGTCATTTGAGTTGGCTTTATTTTGTCTGTGCTATAAAAGTATACATCCAGCTATATAAAATATACAAAATGAAAAATAATTTATCTATAAAAATACTCTTAGTTTAGCTGAAAGACTGTAACTTCATTTTCAATTCTTCTTGGATTTTCTAAAATTGAGGTAAAAATAACCAAGGATGTAAGAACAGACATCCAGCACTGACTCTGAGTCCATAGTTAAGAAGTATGATAGCATGAGACAGCAAGAACAAATTACGGATTCTTATTGATCTGGAACTTAGCACATTTTAAGAGTTTCTCAACTTTTAGGATAAGTTCAAGGTTTCAACTTCACCTGACACCCGTGTATAACCCAAATTACTGTTCTGAATTAAAATACAATATTGCAAAGGAGTTGGGAGAGGTAAAAATCACTTTTGACTGTTGTATATAATTACTGACCATAATCTGTTGACTAATCCAATTCTGCACTTAGGTATGTGCCAAACTGTTGTAACTTTAATAGACTTGTATCATTCCAAGATAAAAACAGACAAATAAATCAGTATTATGTAAGTACCCTGGAATTTATTTTCTGTATTGATACTGAGGACACTAACACTAGCCTAATTGACAGAAACGTTGCCTGGACTATCCACTTGAATGCCAAACTCTTCCGAAAGCTGCTTTAATCTCTCTTCTAAGATAATATTTTTTTTTACTTCTTCATTGTAGTTATATTTCAGATCCTCAATTTCTTCAAAAAAGGAAGGGTCAAAGTTTTCTAGTTCTCTTCTCAGCTTATTTGTTTCTTCCTATTAAAAAGAATGAAGGAGCACCACCTTTATCCAAAACTTCAGAAATACATGTCAAAACCAGCTTTTTTTGACTTTTCCTTAAGAGGCTAAATGATGAGAGAATAAGCACCATGAACACCCATGAACAGGACATTCACTAACAACAGAATAGGCTTCATAAACATAATGTTTGAAAATTGACTTTGTCATAAAATATTAGTTTAGATATTAAATGGCTTTTTCTAGCTAACTGTCGTTTTTCTCATTATCTGGCCTAGGATGGTCCTTGCAACTCACCAATAATTGCTGTTTTTCCAACTCTGAGGCTTTCAGCTGTGTCCGGAGATCAGCTACTTCTGTCATTAATTTGTCATTTTTATCCTTCTCTACAGTTTCATCATGTCCTGCAAAAATAATGATAATTTGTTACAAAATTTAAGGTAATGAAAATCAGTGGCATGAATAATCTTTAACGTTAGAGTTAGTCTGCATCTCCTGAAAGCTGAAATAAGTGTGCAAGCCTAATCGGGATCAACAACCACCAAAAATTCAAGTCATCTGGGCTTTTCTTCAGTTCTTGTACAAATTAGGCGCTGGGTTAGTTCCTGTGATTGAACACAATACTCCAATGGCCAGTCTGTTGTCATATTTCGCAAAAGCATGCTATGTACCGTTTCTGTGAATTAAAAGCAGGAAACTTGGAAATAACATAGTATAAGGATCTTGTTAATTATATTCATAATTCCAAGAGGGTTAATTTTAATTTTTTTTCCCAGTCATATGTCAGTCTGCTGCTCCGTAGTGCTCTGCTTGTCCCATGGGACTGATGCCTGCTAAGTCTTAAATCACTCCCAGAGCTGGTATCTGGAAATAGACACTCATTCTTCTGGCAGCTTGGAACCCAAGGCAAAAGGGGTAGGCATGAGGCTTTCAATGAATGACATCTTACAAGCTGTCTTTTGAGGTTTATAAAACAAATGGTGTCATGAGCTACACATCTTCTTGGACATGGAAATCCTACAAAGATTACAGTTTCTTGTTTATGATAATTATAATTGGAGATTTTTACTAACACTTCTCTTTAAAAAGCTTGTGTAAGTACTCAAAAATCCAATCCCTTGATCTGCTCCAGTTTGCACTACTGTAGCATTAATATACTTCAAATAATTCTGTAGATTTATTACCATTTTGCACACACATATTAAATAAAAATAATTTCAGGCCCAAAATAGAGGAAGATCTTTATTTTAGGTATTGAAAATTATTACCGGCTGCAGGACCTTCACTTGTATATGTGTGTATGGGGTGCTTATAATCTTCCACCTGCTGAGCTAGTTCTGCTTTTTCTTTCTCTAATCGATTATTAGTTAATCTGGAATATAAAACAATTTTAGAATAATTAAAAAAATATTAAAATATTTCAGAATATAGAATATGTAACTAAAAATCACAATGCCCATTTCCTGATCATTCTTATTCATGTATATTGGCTGAGGTATTTATTTAGTTATTTGTAAGTACATTACCTTAAAAGCTGAAGCTCCCTGATGAGACTTTGCTCTGTCCTTGCACCTTCCGGAAGGTGTTTGAGAAGCTCAAGCTTAAAAGAAAAATGAAGAAAGTTTTACTCTTGAAAACCTTATCCATGGATAATGCAGGTCAGATGGAGTTCTCATTGATACAGGATTAAAAAATGAATGAAAGTAATACAAAGGATGTCACCAAGCATTAGGTTATCACAGAGAAAAAAAACCCCAAGTGTTCATCTACTGACAGTTTCCACAAAGTCAATTATCATCTACAGCTTTTTAAAGTTAGTACAAATCATTGCTACACATTTCATGAAGGGTGTAAATCTAACTCTTGAATACTTTTTTCTTCAAAGGAAGTTTGATACGTAGCTATATTAGCATATTTTATACATATGCTTAAGGAAGTGATATTTAAGTGCTTTAAAAATACTACTGACTCGCTTATTTGCAAATCTATGTGTCCAGGTTCCTTATTAAACATAATATGAAAAGCCTGTGATTTTGCAATGAAAACCCAAATGAGTGTATGTGGACTAGAAATGACCTGCAGTTGTAAGTTGGAACAGGTCCCTCACCAGAGAGAGGGAGTTACCCTCTACAAGTGCCTTGCACTAGAAGATGCAGGAGCAAAAAATTAGTGTTTTAAATATGAGACTATATAGTTTTTGAATGCAGTGTCAATTTATGAATTCTCATAAGTCTACTGTTAGTGATAGGCTTTTGTTCTATTACTACCTAAAATGGTAAGGATTTGGTTTTTTCACAACCAATCTCTGTTTCTTTGAAATGTAGTTAACCGTGACTATGTCACTTCTTCAGTATCTGAGACATGAAAGAAACTGGGAAGTTTGTTGCTCCAGAGTAATATCACACAATGAAAGAATTTTATATCTGTGTTAAATTTTGTTGCTTGTGTACACTTCATGTTAATAACGCTGACTTTAGAAAGGGGAAAACAAGCGAAAAATAACAAAATGTTTTATAGGACTCAATTCCAAGTTCTATTTATTGAACACATTTACTTGCTTACATAATATATATGACTTACTATACTGAAAGTGGTGTATGTGGTACCTTACACTGAGAATGGCCGGTACACAATGTCTGGGGAAGAAAACTGTGCCAATACTAATAAATGAGAAGATGGAAGCAAATCTGGGTGGATAGTCCTAGGGCTGTATCTCTGGAGTACCAAAAGGCCAAAATTTGATACATCTTCTCAAAGGTACCTGAGTTTAAAATTCATCAACGCTTCATGCGTCAGATAATATTTGTAAGACTTACTAGGGACTGCATGTAAGAGGCCACACTGGAAATAGGCATGAAGATCTCCTTCAGGGTGGCAAAGCCAACCCCTAAAAGAGACCTGGACGGAAGAGGGAAGTCCCTGTGGCAAACTCACTTTGCAGAACAAGATTTTAAGACCATTTGAGGCATCTGTACCTACAGGCCTTCATGTGATCAATGACATTATAATTAAAAAAACCCGAAGAAGAATACAGTAGAAAAAAACTAATTTTCCCTTAAGACTGCAAGTCGAGAATATATATTGATAATATGTGGTGAACCTTATTAATTCGCTAAAATATGTAAATGTACAATTATGGCAACTAGCACTGAAAAAAACTGTGAGAGCATAGATTAGAGAAAAAAAAAAAAAGTGTACTCTGCCAGTATAGACATTAGAAAGAAATCAGTTCATATTAAGCAATCTATTCTCAGAGTCATGTGGCTGAATTTTACTCACTTGTTCTTTTAGATCTTGTAAGTTTCTATCAGCATTGTGTTCACGTTCTGTTGTTTCCTGAAGCAGTCGTTTAAGGTCAGTAATGCTTTGGGTTTTTTTAGCAATATCCATTTCCATTTCCTTCATCTTAGTTTCGTGCATCCTGGTAGTATTTTTATTGAGAAAAAGATAAGAGTAAAAGCTAATACTTCTGCAGAAATAGAGATTAAAATATCTTTAGGAGATTAAATGACATAAAATACACTCTGCAATATGTTTGGGGCATTGGCCTTGAGATAATCATTGGTCTTAACTAATAAGTGAGCTGAAAGAAGCATAATGAAAAATACATTTTTAATCTGAGAATAAAGGCTTTTCCAAATGCCACACCTTCATGGATCTCACTTTGTGTCTATACTTTATTAA